TTGAATGATAATAACAGATTGCTTTAACTACTCTGTTTGCTTAGGTCTTTCCTCTTTGGGAAAAAAAAGTGTTTTAAGTCCAGTACTGTTTAAAGGTTTGACTCTAAACCAGGGGTCTTTAATCCAGGCCCCCAGCACTGTCATGCATATTTTAGTTGATTTGCATCTCCCACACACCTGGTAAATGAATGGGTGGTTAACAAGCCTCTGGGGAGAAAGTGCAATCTTTTTTTCAGGTATGCAGAGGCATTAACACAGATACAATAAAACATGCAACACAGCAGGCCCTGAGGATTATGATTAAAGAGACATGCTATAAAAAAAAGATCTGTTTTGCATATTATTTATCTGTGTGGTAAAATCTTATCATGGATTTGTTCAGTCTTCTGATCCCTGTGCAGAAAAAACTCAGGAGATCAGTAAAGTAATGTTTATTGATAAGGAATTTGAACTGTTCAGCGATTAACTGGTTCCAGGCTAGAACAGCAACATGGGAAATTTTAGTATCCAGACGGCCGGGGAGTTTGATTTCTTTAGGAGGAATAAAACTAAATATTCTGCTGTTACAGAGATGCAGGGGATGAACTGACGGGGAGAGATGAGGGGATTCCAGGGTCATGGGTACTAGTTGGCTGGTGCAGAGGAGCAGATTATTGGTCCTCCAACGATGTTATTGTTCCTGAACTGCCAGGAGCGACAGGTTGTGTGGAGGAGAAAAGAAAGCAGTTACAGTTTGAGCCACAGAGTCATGGAGACACTCAGAGGTTCTCCCTGGATTTAAAGGGAGACTTTGCTAGTAATGAAAGTCTGGCACTGAAGCTTCAATCCATGCTTCAAACCCATAGTACAGAACAACTGTTTCAATGTTTGCTTCAGAATGGAAAAGCTGATGTCTGACGCAGTATTTGCTTCCTGAATGATTCACCTGATTGGTTCCCCACCCGGGCTGCTCAGTGGTGCAGTGGCCTTGCAGCAAGAAGGTTGTGGGTTTGATTTCCGGCCCGGGTTTTTCTGCATGGAGTTTGCATGTTCTCCCTGAGCATCAAGGGGTTCTCTTTGGGTACTCCGGCTTCCTCCCACAGTCCAAAAACATGACAGGTAGGTTAATTGGCTTCTCTGCAGTCCCCTTCGGTGTTAGTGTGTGTGTGAATGGTTGTTTGTCCTGTTTGTCTCTGTGTCGCCCTGCGATGCACTGGCGACCTGTCCAGGGTGGACCCTGCCTCTCGCCCAATGACTGCTAGAGATAGGCAACAACACCCCTCGCGACCCAGGATGGATGGATGGTTCCCCACCCCCTTTTTAGCCTCTGCCAGTGTTACCCAAACACACCAGGTATATGCCATAATTTCCCCAAACTCTCCTCAGTTACACAAAAACACATTTCTAAACCTTTATTTGCAAATACAACATTATAAACGGCCCGTGTGTGGCAGCATATTTTCAAAACAAACATGGTATAAAAACAGGAGTTATAAAGCAATATTGATTTTTCACCAAGGTGATTCCTTTGTTTCACTGAGGAATCACCGACTCCATCAGCAAGGTTGCACATCATACATGGATGAATGAGTACCCCATCCCTCTGTGCAATTCCTTTGTCCTAAACAAGACCGCAGCTTCAAACTGTTTTAGGAGAGGTCACTTTAAATAAAGCTTCAAAAAAATGATTTAATTTCCTAAAAAATTTTTCTCAAATGGTTCAATGCTTCAAAAAAGCATTTGCAAATCACCATAGAGACAGAGGAGAAAACCACATAGGTCAACAATTTAACTTGAGTGAATGGAGAACAGCTTCTCTTAAAAGAGGCAGTGAGGAGACTTTTGACATGCAGGTGTGATAAAACTCACCTGTGGAACGATTCCCAGCACAACAGCAGATCCCAGGATGCCCTCTGATCAAAACCCTGCAGAGATTGAAAACACAGCAGCCCAGCCAAAACCCCAGTTCCTGACTGCAAGTAGAACTAAACCACTGAAATTTGTGTCCACCAGAACACAACCCAATCAAGCTCTCTTTTTTTTACTTTCTTCTTTCTTTTTTTTTTTATGGCAAAAAAAAAATATATATATATATATATATATATATATATATTTGAGGGAAGAACCAGAAAGTGCTGAAGTATTTCTAATATGACAGTCTAGTAGGAAAACTGGAGCACTACTGGGATACCAGCATTCAGGCCCCTATATAAAAAAAAACAATTACTTCAGACAATGCATTTAGGTTATAACTTATAATTTTTTATCCTAAGCTAGCACCAAATTAGATTTTACATTTAGATTTTAAAATTAAATTCAGATTCTATTGGAAGATAAGTTCTCCTTTTACAACAAGCACTTTAGACTCCAAATCTAGACAACCCATCAGTGGATTTACACCCTTGGTATCTTTAAGAACTTTCCCTAGGAACTTTTTTTTTACATAATTAAAAGATAGGTGTGGTTAATTATTAGGCTTCCTAACATTTTATCTCCTAACTTTCTGATATTTTTTCTTAAGCCGTATTGTACAGTGTAAACAGACCGGCAACTTCTTAACACACTAATCATTTTGTAAAATTATAACTATCTGGCTCCCTTTGTCTACACATGTATTTTCATTGTTTTTTAAAAAGCTGCAAATTATTCCATCTTGTATAGAAGGTTTGATAAACAAAACTGACCAAATACTCTCACTTTTTTTCCATCAGATTTCTTATTTTGTCCTATTAGGTTTTTTATCAGAAACATTTTTAGGACAAATTGATGAGGATTATAGATCTTGGTCTGTTGGTACAGGTTCACCGATGTAGGTATCAAAACTTACAGAATAAAACAATAAGGCACAGGCCAAGCAATTAACTTGACAATGAGGAAAAATTTAGTCTGTAATGTAAAATATGTTCCGGTCCCGATAAGAAACCTGATTTACGATATGAAAAAATTATTTGATATTGAAGGTATTATGGCCTCTTCATTTTTTGCTCTGATACTCTCACATTTCCTGTACTTTGCAGATCTACTGTACATATTTTCATTATGATGCTCTTCTCTTCTGCTCTGTTTAATCTTACATCATTGCCTTTTTCTGGTTACATTTTGGTTTCCCATCCAAGGAACTGTTAAAATCTTTATGTTTTTATTACTGCAGACCTTTTTGCACACCCAGCGCTGTCAGTTGACAAGTTGGCTATATAGGTTCCAAGCTGTACATTCTGTTACAGAGCCTAAAGCTGTTTTATTTAGCATTAGGATTAAACTAACCCTACTCTAGTAAGTTTTTTGGATGCAAAATATACCAAGTAAGATCATCATTAAAAAACTGAATGTTATTTATTTGAAAACTCTATTTTCTGTGATGGTAAAGCAATGTGATTGCGGCATGTGACCACTAGATGTCAGTATAATATTATGGCATGATTCCAATGTATTTAGAAAAAAAGATCTTCAGTTAAATATTTTAAAATAAATACATAATCCTCTTTATTTTCCACCTAATCACATAAAGATTTAACCTTTTTTTAATGGTTTAATTTATTTTTTATGAATGCAATAGAAAACAATGAAGCCCAACATGGTTTATGAGATTTTGGTATTTTATTTACAGCTATACACCTTCAGTAGAGGAATGGCTTTAGAATTTTGTTCTGAATGGTGAATCAAAAATAAAATTTGAGTTGGGAAACAGAGAGTCTGAAGATACCATAAAACTAACAAGTGGATATTTAGTATTTTAAGCAGTTAATAACAGAAAATGTTTCAACATTTTAACAAAACCATGACTGATTCGGCTTCAGAGTCATACATTTGTTGCACTTTTTCTTATCTCGATTATATTTCAATGACATAGTAAAGCAATGCTTCAGTTTTGGCTTATTGTGTGGATTATAGTAGTACTTTGTAAGTGGGATGATTTTCTCTAGACAGACTTAGCATTGAAATTAGGAATTACATAAATTTTTTATTTAAACAATTCTGGAAGAAGGTAAATTTTAGAACCAGATTTAATCGTTTCTCGATTCTTGGTGCACAAGTTTACCCTTAAAATAAGGTTCCTCCCTTTTCATGAAAAGAACATCTTCACTCGTGAGAGATTGACTGCTGGCCTCCAGATGAGTGTAAACTGTTGAATCTTGGTCTGATGGTGTTGTTCTTTTGTGCTGGACCGTCCTTATGGCCAGTGGTTTTTTGTTTCCTTTGTGTATAGTGGTCACAATGTTCTTTGCAGCAAACAAAATACTTTTCTGTGATGGGGATGGGATTATTAGGGTCAAACAGTCTTTTTATTTCAAAGCGTTTTGATGTTTGAAAGCCACTGGGACATCATGTTTAGACCGTCTAATTTTCTCTGAAAGTCTAAGATACACAGTGACCACTGGTCTGGGCATGGGTCCCTCCTTTTTTATCTGATGCCTGTCTGGAGTCTGCTCTGGTTTCTTGTCTGCTTTGAGGGTAGCTTGGTTAGGATAACAACATTGCTCTACAGGAGGGTGGTCTGCAGCCCAAAAGGGGTCCACAGGGGTATTGCATGGGGGTCGCAAAACTTTTGGTTAATCAGGCTTTTCTTGTTTATATATTCATATATTCCCCCTTGCACTGGAAAAAACGATAGTAACGAAGTTAAGTGTATTTACCCTTAATTTGAGGAAGTACATGAGATAGTTTGCCAATGGAATGAGTATTTTTACCCTTAAAATAAGACAATTAGATAAAATGCACTTGAAATAAGGCAATGCAATTGTGTTTTCTTATTGTAAATATAAATTGTATTGTTCCATTGGCAAAATGTCTCATTTACCTCTTTAATTCAAGAACAAATGCACTGATTTTAAGAAAAAAAAATGACTTATCTAGATTTAGAATTTTTCCAGTGTGCAATTGTTTACACTAACTGAAATGTCTATAAATACATATTAACATGAATTCAACACACTAGATAAACGAAGCTAAAAGATGTCTTTCAGTCAACAATGCACACATTCAGCGACACACAGGAGCTCTTTCAATCTAGGCACCGTTTTATTCACAACACTTGTCCTATCAACGACGAATCAGAAATACTTTAACAATCCCAGGGTGAAGTTGCTTTCATTACATAACTCCATTTGTAAAAGAGTGACTATAGGACCAGTTTGATATAACACAATTTCATACAAAATATATAATTGGGGGGTCCCCGCTCCATCTCTCCATCAGTTTGGGGGTCCTTAGCCTGGAAAATGTTGAAGAACCCTTCTCTAGAGCCCATCTTGTGTGTGACTGCTCTTTTGGCTCCTTTGTCTGTGGGGACATTGTCTACTCTGTGATACAGAATACTGAACAGAATCCAGAGTCCTAACTTGTGTTCCAGTGGCTGATGGGAGTCAAACTGTAAGAACTAGTCTGTGTGCATTGGTTTGAAATGAACATCTGATTCTAACTGTGCTCCATCTAAGATTAGATCCCACAGTCCAGGGAAGTAAGTGTCCTTGTCATTTCTATGCAACCCAGAGCTTGCCAATCAAGGTGCAATATTAGAGTACAATGTGGGACATACAACTGTGATGAAAGCAACGGCAACTGAACCAAAAATAAACATAGTAGCAACTGAAGGATCTCTGAGAGAAGTGCATTGTGCCACTTTGGATAGAAACATTTTTTTTATTTATTTTTTAACTCACTGGCTTAAACCATACTTTGGTACTGGGTGTAATATCACCCTGTAGGTTCAGCTGAATGTCCCTCCTTCAGCTGAACAGGCTCAGATGTGTAGAACTAAACCAAGAGAGATAAACATTCATAATCTGCCTCACCAGGCTAGGTTTACCAACACGGGTGTCTTTTAGCATTTAATCAAAAATGTTCACTGTTTTTATCACCCATCCAGAGCTGTAACTTAACCCTTCTTTAAAGATTTATACCTTATCTGTTATATTCAATATTCTCTAACAAACCTGAGCCTTTACAGAACAGAACAGCCATCTTTAAACTTGCTGACTTTGGAGGAATTTTTAGAGGCAGTTGTTTGCTCTGGGTTTTAATCAGGTCTAGAGTACGCTGAGATGAATACAAAATTCCACTCTGGTATTACTTATACTTCTTTTAAAAAAAAGTATTCTAGTGTTTTTTTTCTATATTATTATATTCTATAAAACGATTAAGCACGATATTTCCAAACTGATCTTGTTAAAAAGTTAAATCAGGTACCACAAGATACACTCTGTTATAGATGAACAATGTGAACTATCTGCTTTTGTAAAAATATAAATATGTTTCATTTAGTACTTTAGGGCTATCAGAATGTAAAAGAAGAGAAAGAAATTATTTAACATAATTTGTAGATGTTTCCATTTGCTCCAAATCACTTTTAGCTGAACAAGTATGAAAAGTTCCCTGGTCTTTTCTCATGGACCCTCTATGAGCATTTTTGAAAATAAAAGGAAATAGGGAGGCCCTAAATCTGTATTTTAAAATCTGTTTGCACATATCATTAATCTGTTATTGCAAAGAATCAAAAACAGAAAAAATATGCAGTTATACAACATCACTTTACTATTACTAAACAGTTTTACAAGTCACAGCACAATGACACAGCTTCATCAAATGGAAGTTTGTTTCATGCCGGTTGTTTCAGCATTATATCCACAGCTTAAATGGATCATAAAGATAATTTTTTTTTTTGTTAACATATGTACATTTTCTATGAGTTATTTAGTGGCTTTAAGGTGATTTTTTTATGTCACTTTAACTCTTCTGTGGAGGAGGAAAGTGTGTCAGGGCCTTCTGGACTCTCCTGCAGAATATAAGGCAAATTAACGCATTAGCAGAACACATTTTAGAGTTTAAATGAAATAACTATTTAGGAGGACATGAGAAGTGAAGAGGCAATGTAGTTGGCAAGTAGAAAAACAAAGCGCACCTTCACTTTGTCCAGATCTGGCCTGCCTGGCAGTGACTTTTGTGAGGAGAATGCCTGTTAAGGAAGATGCTAAAATCAGATCAGATAGAAACAGGAACCAATCTTTCATGTTTCAAAATGCTGCTCACCTTTCTGGACTGTTGTGTCTCCTCTGTGGATTTAGACCTGTTCTTCATGTGCTTCTGCAGAGAGGTGGAGGTGTGACACTATAGAGAGGCAGGATCTTGTTAGATCAGGTTGGAATAATGAAAAATAATATGAGTCACATTTTTAACACACCTCATTTGTTTTCTGCTCCATGGCTGATTTGGAGATGTTCTTAGGTCACTGATAAAGACACTTCAGGATTGTTAACTTGTCCTTTTGAATTTTCTTGATGTCACGCTGTAAAGCTGAGGAAAGGCCAAGAAAAAAAAAAATTTACCGGTATATTTTTTAATTTTTTTATGTCACTATATAAAAAAAAATGTCAGCAACAAAATGTTCTATCAATGAGTTTATAAGCAAGAAGCTGAAGTGCAGTTACAGGCTTTTGTAGCTAGATGGCACTCCTTTTTTATGATTTTTGTTTTGTCATTTTCTAATGTTTTCATAATGGATAGATGCTTTTATGACAACTATCACAATGGGATGCAAATATTTTGTATATATTATTAGTTTTACTTAAATTTCTTGAATGCAGAAGAGTTGAATTTGTGATTGATTTCCATTGTAAAAAAATGTCTTCATTACTTCCTTTTTTTGGTTTTGTTTGGGGTTTTTTTTTCTAATTAAAGCTTTTTAGGAAAACATACTTTGAATTAGAATTATTTTAGTGGTAAAGTTGGCAAACTAAGCAGGAATATGAAAAAAAGTTTATTAAATTAAAAGGCAGACCTAGCAAACGAATTGTCTTTGTGACAGCTTGTATTTTTGTGATAGGCCTTTGTAGCACAGACCTGCAGGTAGGAGACTTACCAGCCTCTGACCATAAAGTTGAGGTTAGCAGAGATGGTGGTTGCTTTTTTTTGGTCCTAGATTTCTACAGATCCTAGAAGGAAGAAAGGTCAGCCCCAACGATCTTCTACACAGACCTGATTGTTTGTTGGGTTTTGTTTCTTGGACTTGTTTTGTAGAAGAGCCAAATCCAAAAGAAATGGAAGTGCACTAAACAGACTGAATAATGTCGATGCAAATGATGACAAGCAACGAGTGAGTGACTATAGTACAGTACAGTCTCTGATGGTGTCAATTTGGATAGTTAAGATGAGGAGTGCTCTGGTAATGGTTAGGTTTATGGTGATATTTAGGGTTAGAGAAGGCATGCCCAAAGTCGGTCATTGAGCGCTGCTGTCCTGCAGGGTTTAGAGGTTATCAGCACAGCTGATTTTCATTGATGTATGATTAAGTCTTTTGCTGAAATGCAATCATTAGAATCAGCTGTGCTAAAGTAGGGAAACATCTAAAACCTGCAGGAAAGCGGCCCTCTAGGACCGACTTTTGGCATGCCTGGGTTAGAGCATGCAAAGGGTTGAAAACGACTGAAAATCAACGGTCAAGTCAATGGATTAAACGCATCGTCCTCACTACATATAGCAGGAAGAGTATGTGTCGGGGGATGGGGGTTGGCAATGTTTTTGTTACCTTCTTGGAACGATTTCCCAGGAATATGCTACATTTTGGTGACTTATAGGTACTTGTGGGGACCAACACCTGGTGCCAATGAGGAAAGGTCCTCTACGTGGGGAGGGAGTTAGGTGTGAATTGTGGGAAATTAATAGGAGTCAATGGAAAGTCCCCATTAGGATAGTGTGACAAGTATATGTCTGTTATTATTGTTGAAAGTTCAGAAACGTTGTTCTATATGCAGAACAAGACTAACATATGTTGATATATGATGTCACAAATTTGATAAATTTATGTAAATAAGGCTTATTTTTCAAAAATCTTCCCACTGCGGGATTAAGCCATCAGCTTAGACTCAGGAGTCCATTTTTCAAACAGTATGAAAACCAGCCTAGGAACTTTTAAGTTTCTGCCTGTAATCTGAAATGATATGGAGAAGAAAGTGTCCAAAGAACTGTTTTTAAGTCTTCAGTATTAGTGACCAATTTACCAGATTGTAACCATTTAACTAGGTTTAGGCGGAGCATTTTGTGGCGACTATTTATTTATACCTCTCAGTTTTGATTACCAAGGCAATGCATGGATGGATGGCAGCATAGTAGTCACCATTGACAGAGTGTGAGAACTTCTCCCTGTTTGCTTCGTCTGCTTCTTTCTGGTGGGAATACTCATAGCTGTGTCATTTTCACAGCAATCAAAATTCCCACCAGGATCTCTAATAAACTCTCTGGTTCTATATAGATCAGAGAGAAACTGCCCATAGAGGAATCTCTGAAACTGAGACAGTTGGCAGGGAATCTCAACTTTGATCAAACAGGACCACCATGTACATTAGGCCTCATTAATGACCCATGAGCAATTGATCATATGGTGCATAACACCTAAAGCTGTATAAGAGGTGTAAAAAGCCTCAAAGTACTTTTTTCCCCTTTCCTATATTGCAGGAGCAACATTAATACCTGTCATAAGTGATAAAACTAACATTTAACCTGAGTAATAATTGTTGATAAAAAGAAAATTTTACATAATAGTACTCATCAGTATGTCTGTTGTTAATACTTTATACAGATGTGTAGTATTGTACAGTGACAGATTGTTTTTCTCTGCTCATCAATTGGGTTATTTAGATCTGGAGACAAAGATGAACAGGAAAGAAAGTCTATTTTGTCTGATGAGTAATTCCTTTATTGATTCGTCCATGACTTTATGTATCATCTTCCATTTGGACAGCCTAATGAGATCTTATTTTTCACTTAGCTGCATAGGCTGTTTAAAAGTAGAAACTTTTAAATGAATGCCTGCAATAAGTTTAAACAGCTCAATTTGAACTTAAAGTCAATGTAAGACATTATGCTAACGGGGAACACAAATTAAGGTAGTTTAAGATTTTTTTTTTTTTTTAGCTTTGGAGTCATATGAACGAAGGAGAGGTTTTCTTAAGGGAAATAATGAAGATGCATTCATGCATGTCAATCCAGCACAAACAATAAGTCCCAGGAAAAAGCTGAACTCTACAGTGAATACAAAGCAGCAGTCACAGCCAGGGGCACAGCTGGCGTCAGGAGTCATGCTACCAAGGGAAAAAACACCTTTGGATTTAGGTCAGAGTGAAAGAGACCTTCTGTATTTAAAAAAAAACAACATAAAAGAATAACTGTCTCTGTCATCTCCATCATTGCTCACGCAGTCCGTCAAAGATGCATTGCTGAGATGTTATTGTTCACTTTTGAAGACAAGGTTTCCTGCAACTTCTAAAAGAGAAAAGATTTGTGTTACAGTAAAAATACAAAAAAGGAAGAGCTATTAGACTTATATATCTGAAGATTTTTACTGCAACTCCAGATGCACATCAGCAATGAAGAATAGTCTTTTATATTTGGCTATCCAAAGCTGCTTTGATTAAAAAAAAAAAAAAAAAAGTTAATAGGTATATTTGCATCACTCACAAGTGCAAATAAAGCCTTTTTTTAAAAAATGAGATGTATCATAATGTTTTATGAAAATGAGAAAATTTGTGCCTGCATTTCAAACTTCATAAGAACAGTTGCCATTTTATCGTGATCAACCGCTTTAAGTTTAATGAAGCAAATAGATGTCTCCAAGTGAGACCTTGTAAGAATTTGTTTCAAAACGAAAAGAAACATTTTACTAAAATCCAACTGTCCCCCTGCTGCTCTGATGAGGAGCTTATAAAAAATGAATGGCAGCCTATCGACAGGAGTTCCTTTACCCGCTGCGACGCTTGACGTCAGTGGTCACAGCAGCTTAACATTTCATGCTGTAGGGAACTTTAATACAAAAGCCTCAGTGGAATGGACTGCCTGCTATATAAAACATGCTAACGCAACACATTCAGTGGATTGCTCGGACCATTTTTCATAGAGGTTTCAGTTAGCACACCCGGGGGTAAGAAACCAGCAGCTGACCTCTGCGTTTCACTTCAAATGTGCATTATGAGTCTTTGAAGGGGACAGAGGAGAATAATTTCAGCCTTGATGGAAGGGCAGGCATTCAGGAGGTCCCGGTTACTGGCTCTGGAACGCTCACTCAGGGAGATGACCTAAATAAAAATGATCTGTTGGCTTGTTTCCCTATTCCTTTGTCTCAATGAACAACTCCTCCATTGTATGCCAATCAAAACTAGACAGGGGTTACACTAAGGGTAAAGGTTTCTCTTTTTTAAAGTTCTGCAACAACACACTCACTGACTGACTTTTTAAAGCAATGTAAATGCATTTAAAGGGACGTTCTGAAACATTTTTTTCTTTTTACGGCCTAAAATCAATGACTGCAGATACATTTCCATAAACAACAAATTTTCTGTTTGTTTATAAATAAGGCTTGTCACCCGTATGCGAATCATCGTGACAGTCTGCCATCTTGAAAGTAGAGATGCAGGCGAGGGGTAAAATAGTACTAACTCACAGAATAACAATGCCTTTCCCCTTTTTAGAAGTTCAGTGTGATTGAGAGGCGGTCCTGAAGAACATTTGGAGACGCTAACAGAACAACTGAAAGTCTACTGCAGCACGATGCAGGTCTATGCATATGCAACAGCAAGTAACGGTTTCACCATCACCAGGAAAGTGAAAAAGAGAACTTAAAAGACAACAAAAACGGAAAAAACAATAAAACAAGGATAAACATCAGGCAAGACATCTCTAGGTGGACGGAGCTAATGAGGGAGAAAGATTTTAAAAAGGACGCTGAAGTTAACATGTTTGTCCTTGACAAATAAGTGAGCTGTACTGCCTAAATTAGCGTAAAGCTATGTTTTTCCATTCTGTTTAATTAGACACTGTTGCTTGTTACCATAGAATTCATAGTAGTAGATTCTGCAAACATAAACCAAGCTTGTTGGCACAGAATTGTAGGTTTATGTGAGTTTAGTAGCTATCAAAGCTGCAGTGAACACTGGCTTTTTAGCACAGTAAATGTCAGCTCCAACTTTCGGATGACATGGTTACATCTGTGTTGTCTATGCTTTTTGACCTACAGGGGCTACTGTTACTGTAATATATGTTTGAAGCAGTGATGTTCTAGTAAATCCTTAGACACATGGGCGATCGCAGCCAGGAAAATGTAAGGGACCTCTCTGCAGAGCATGGAAAATATATATATGTGCAGAGTTATGAGGAAGGCAAACAAGATTAGAGATAGAAGACAATATACCCTCTAAGATTTTCATTTTAGCTGCTTCCCTCATGGCAAAGGTACTGCCTTCCTTTATTCTCAAGAAATATGAGCAATTTTTGCTTCATGCCACAAGCATTTAGATGACAAATAG